GGAAAAATACATATTTTACTAATTATAATTAGTAAAAAATTTAAGCGTTGCATTATTTTTGATTGCCACTGTATATTATTTAATAATTATATTAATTTGCTAATTATTTTTTATATATTTTTATAATTATATTAAATAATATTCTTGATAAATCAATTAATAAGCTTGAATAGATTAGATTTCTAATTTGAAAGTTTTAAACTTATTTAAAAATTTCAGTTTTATAATATATTTTATATCAATAAAAAAATTATCTAAAAAATTATTAAATAAATATTCTTTATTATAAATTGAACAAAATATTTGTAATTTTACATTGTAATAAATAAATACATTAAATTACATTATATCAAATGAAGATCATTTTTCTTTAAAATGGAATACTCGAAGAAAGTTATACATTAAATAAGAACGAGATTTGTAATGTACACGAGTAAATTATAATTGATAAATAGATGAAATAAAAATTAAAGCTTTCAAAAAATTTGAGTACAGATGATTTTCTCTGTAAAGTCCTTATGACAAATTATTTATTCGAATTAGTCGAGAGATAAATAATAAATGTTCCTTCTTTACTCAGTGGTTGCTGAAGTCGGAGTTGGACAACAAACATTTTTTGCACATGTCTCATCTTCGGCACAACGAAGTAAACATGCTGATTCATTACCATCCTATTCAAGAAAAATCAACCAATTAGTTATCAATCTTCGTCACTTCGAAACAAAAAAAATAGACTATTTACTAATTCATTAGCAATCATTTCTCTATCCGAATCATTCGATGTACTGGCATTAGTGCCCCGAGCTGACAAATCAAATTCTGGTTGAATGGTGGCGGAATGAATTCCATAAGAATGCAAAATTTTTCTTATATTAGCTGCAATTTTCATGTATTCAGTTTTCGGTTTCATATGATCAGTTTTCGGATTCATATAATCAGTTCTAGGATCAAGTAACACATGAACAGATGCAATTAATTTCGTATCCGATAATTGCCAGATGTGTAATTCATGTACAGACAATACACCAGATGTCTAAATAATTTAGATATTATTAAATAGTTTGAATTGAGATGAATTTATTAAAAGACCGCAATTACTTACATTTAATATTTTTTCTCGAACATCATCTATAGGAATACCGGATGGTACGCCTTGTAATAGAATAAATGAAGTACTTCGCACTAACAGAATAGAAAGAATATCGTGTAAATAATAATCAATTGTTTATAATCTGAATATATTCAAATCTGAAACAGAGAAATCCAATAAATTGCGTACCTAACGGTAGTGCGGATGAGAAAATGATAATTGTGATGATCAAACTACATGAAATGCACAAAGAGTCAGAAATCAAAAGATATATTTATGAAAAAAGAGAAACAAAATAAAATCTTTTTTTTTACCTTATTAAGGGATCAGCATAAAATCTCCATTCATAGTCTGTATATTTAATAAATAATGCTGTAGCAATAACGCCGATATTACCCAATGCATCTCCAAGAACATGAAGAAACACCCCTTGCATATTGAGGTTTTGACTGCCATGTGCATGTCCTTTATGTTTATGATCATGCTTATCATGTGAATCATTTGTTTTGTTCAATGTACCATAGCTTGGTCTGTGTGCAATTGATGACGATATCTCATTTAGATTTTCATTAGTGTCCAAATTTCCCGCTGGCGTCGATACAGTTTGTTCAGCATTGGCAACATCTTGCCCATCAGCTCTAGGAATATTATCAGATTCTTCAGACTCTACGTCATCCTCTGAAGATACGACATCCTCTATTGTTCGAGCAGCTTCAACCAGATATTGACGTGTTTGTGCTGGATGAACTAAAATTTCCTCCGGTTCAAGGGTTTCAGTTGATTGGATACCTGGGTGAGAATCGTGTGAATGTCCTTTGTGCTCATGCCCATGTCCGTGTCCGTGTCCGTGTTCTGAATAGTAAAAGAATTGTAAAAAGAAACCAAAATGGACATCGATTTAATGTAATTTACCATGAAATAAAAGTAATCCTATAAAATTTGATAGCAATCCAGCCGATCCCACGATAAACACTAATGTTGGATTTTCTATTACTAAAATCATCGAATAAGAAATGTGATAAGTAAATAAATCTGCAGACCAACGACACATAAAATGCAAAGTTATAACATACCTTGAGGTTCAAAAAATCGTTGAATTGCTTCTATAAAAATGCTAAAGCATAAAGCTAGTAAGAAGACTCCATTTATAAGTGCGCCTAAAACTTCGGCACGCTGCCAACCATACGAATATTTAGATGAGAATGACGTCGATGTTGCAAGCTAAAATTTAGAAAAAATATTTGGAGATTGATACATAAGCTCGAATAGTTACATCCATGAAGTATGATATGGTATAGATCTTTCAAACCTTGACTGCATATAACGCTACAACCAAACTTATAACATCGTTTAACATATGAAAGGAATCAGCAACTAGAGCTAAAGAATTCACTGTGTACCCAGCAATTATCTCCAAGAAGAAAAAAAACGTATCAATCACCAGTAGGATGGTGATTCTGCTTTGACGAGATAATCCCATTTTTGCATAAATTTTGTTACTAACACAAATCGAAAGATTTTATAAAAATTAGATGAATGGGGTAAAATTTTCATTTTTCATGTGGAACGGGGATTTTAACTAAATTTAGCAAAAAGAAAAAAAACACAAAAATCAGGTACCCCCTTGTTAAGCTTTATTTTTAATATAGAGACTGATCACAGATCTTTAATATGAGACAATTTGTGTAAGTAAATATAAGCATTTCATGAATCTGTGTTGATTCAGGATTTCAATGTTAAATTAATGTTAAATGTGAAAATGCAAATCTCAGGATTTAATTATTAGAAATTGACTGAACTCTAGAAGAATATGATCATCCACAAAGATATATATGTTAACATTTATCGGACCAGAGTTATGTACGCTTACATAAAAAAAATTCTTGTGAATGATCGAACGCTCAATTTGATGCTAGTAATTATTCTTTTTATTTTTGCCAAGGCAAGTACGTAATTGGAATAAGTCAATTTTTACCCAAATAAACGAACTTCAAAGATAAAACTATAATACAAATGATGCAACTAAAGGGTTTGTTTTGTTCTTTTCCGTAAAAGCCAGGAAAGAATACAAATTTTTTTTGGAAATCAATTTTGGGAATTTTTGTCTTTTGAAAAGGAAGTATTTAGTGGTAGAGAAGGGAGTAAGTAATGTATATGTTGTATATAATGTCATGTATTTTTTTTTAGATATATATGCTTCCCATTGATCATTAACTTTTGTAAATGTTTCGAGGATCTATCTAAAGACAATCTCATGGGAGGGAAGACTTTGGAGGAAATAATCGCAGAGGGGAAAAAAATTATAAATCTGCGAATTTAAGACAAAGTAGAAACTTTGAACGAATAAAATTAATGGGAGCATTCATTGAATTTTTATTAAAGACATTCGCAGACCATTTCTAAGAAGATAAAAGAAAAAGAAATAAATCGGACGGGTATCTGCTCACAAAGTTAAAAACTCTAATTGTATTTCCCAAGTTCATGAACACAAACTATAATAAAGTAAAAAGTACCTAAATAGAACCTAAACCAAATGATGTAAACTAATGTTATCACAAAAGATGGTACGCGTAGATGTATATATGACTCGTAAATTTTAATAATGCCAACTAAAAGAATATTTAGAGTACATATATTAAATACACGAACTTTGAGAATAAAGAAAATCATGTTAATTGAAAAGCTTTATGAAAGTAATAGTACATCAGAATTATAATTAAAAGAAACCTACTCGTTTTACATAATATCCTTGCCTTGACCACCGATCTTGATTCCACGATTGAAAATCACCATTTTCTCCAACATTTTAGTCAAAGAATTCTTGGTGGATTTTGTGACTATTTTGGGTGATTTTTCCACTTCATCAAAGTCTAGGCTAATTTTACGCTGAAGTGAATGTGTGGACGCGTCAAAAGACGTAGACGTAGGCGTCAATGATTTTCTACGGTCAGAGACAGGATTCAATGATTTCCTACGGTCAGGCAGTGTAACAAATGATTTCCTGCGCACGGGATTAGAAGGTGGTACATAAGTTTCAGAAACGAAATCCGAATTTGAATGATTGTTTCTTTTGGGACTAGGTGGTAGTGAATTCTTTGTAGGCGGGGTCACATTAGGCTTAAAATAAAGTACTCGGCGTGGACGAACTCTATGTGGAAAGGAGAAAGATAGCGCATCCTGAGCGCCTACACTAGACCCACGACGTCTATTCCGCACAGACTGACTCTTCTTTTCTTTTTCTTTTCTTCGTTCAAGACGTTCACGACGTAAGTTATATGAATTCCAATGATCATTATTCTGCATGTGAGTATTTTCAGTGGATGTTGTAGAATTGCGTTCTTCACCCCAAGGTCTCGGTCTGCAGTAAATAACTTTTGGTGGAGTGTAAAGACCTGCATTCGTATTATCATTGTCATTAACACTGGTATCATTCTGTTGAACACGCGCTCGTATCATCATCGCATTTCCATTTATATCTTCGTCTGTACCGAAGCCAGAGTCTGCATCACTGTTAATTGCACTGGCATCTGCCTGTTGCTGATCTTCTTCGTCTTCTCGCTTATTTTCATTATTTTCGCTAACTACTTCGAAGAAGGGAACCTCTGTAGAAGAAGTAGTAGTTGTTGTTTCGACGAATGCCACTTTATTCTCCTTTGATTGATTATTATCGATAAAAGCCTGGCCATTATCCATTTCATCCAAGAAAACAACGGGAGCAGTAAAGTCCATTTCTTTATCCAGTGATTCTTCAAAGACATCGGACCATGATTTCTTACGAACATAGTTGTGTTGTTGTTCTTCGGAAGAATCACCTCTAGCTTCCTCATCATTTACTTGAGCACCAGCAGAAATAGTTAATTCGTGTAGATCAAGTTGATCCACATTGCAATATTCCTCCTCTTCTTCATTATTCAACATCTTTGGAACCAAATTTTTACACCATACTTTCCATTCTCTAATGCTAATGCGACCTTCTTCAGGACGACAGAACACTCGAGTAGACAAGAAATGAGCTACACTTTCTGGCATATTTTTGAATTGCTGCATCAAAAAGCCGATTTTGTCTTGTTGAAAATCAGCAAAAGATTTACAATGTTCTGGGTTTGGATCGGACCACGGAGAACGATGATAGAGCAAATTAAGGAAAATAATTCCTAATGACCAAATATCACCTAATCGAGGATGATACGTCTCACGAACAGGATTTCGACATTCTGTAATCATTTTAATCAATCAATTAATTAATTAATTAATAATTAGTACATGATTAATTAGACGCGGAAATGTATAAACAATTAAAATCACATCATACCGTAACTCATATAGGGTTTTGACCCACAATCGAAATCAGTCGATTCCAGTTCATCCGTAGCTAATCCAAAATCAGTCAGTTGCACAAGTACATTGCCACTTTCATGATCAACGGTGACAATGAAATTTTCCGGTTTCAAATCCCGGTGAGCGATTCCATTGTTATGACAATGGCCAACTGCTTCAAGTATTTGCATAAAGACCTGTTTGATAAGCCCGAGACGTTCGTTTTCTGTGTACTGTCGCCCTGTTTTAGCGTCTTTGTAGTCTTGATTCTTCGTAAGCCAAAAATACAGATCTTGACCTTCACAATATTCCATGACAAGGAAAAGCCAATCAGGCGTTTCAAATGTATGATGTAGGTGTACAAGATTAGGATGTCCATTAACTTTTTCGTGAATTAATACCTATAAAAAGGGGAGAGGAAATTAATTTGTATTTTTTTCATCATACATAATAATCTAATGTCAACTTACTTCATTCTGTTGAATTGCTAAATAATATTCATTAAGATTGGCTTTCGAAAGACACTTCAAGGCATAATATTTATTATCCTTTTTATTGAGTACCATATAAACCACCGCATAAGAACCATTACCAAGCAGCTGAATTAAAGTGTAACTTGATCCACGAACGGGATCCTCTATCGTTGATCCGAGTTCAAATGGAAGGATTGATGGTGAGATTAATGGCTCTTGAGACCATTGTTGCTGCTGCTGTTGTTGATAATGGGTGATTTTTGGTACGTCAATATAAGAAACAGGTCGTATTGGAGATGATGAGGGTCTGTGTAACATTGTAGTAATAATTTTGATAATTGTCCGTTGATAAATATAATATTGATATAAAGGATAATTTTACAATTTTTTTTGGAATGATGAGAAGAGGGTGAATATAATATGGATAATTATATTGTTGTTTTTTTATCTTTTTTTAATTGATTCAAGAACCGGCTTGAGAGCTTTTCCCGTAGATCAAGATTGGACCAAAGGCCCACAATTGTATTTTGAATATTTGCACTACTATATATATATATATATGTGTGTGTTGTGTGTGTGTATATATATATATATGTGTGTGTGTGTTTTTGTGTAAGGAGATATTTGATGATGTCGATTTGTTTAGGACTTTCGTCGTAGGTGTCGAGAAGAAATCTGATAATGTAAGTGATACCAATAATTACTGTGGCTTATGGTGGTTATGGATTTTTTGAGTCGATGCTGATCAACTAGAATTCCAGTATGCGATACCGCGGTGGCTGTGAAAGCTGTGGTAGTATTGAATGAAAATATGGTCATCTTTTTGTATACTGGATCCTCTTTTAGTACGCCATACTGAAAAATCAGCAATTATAATGTGTATTGTAATGAATAAAAAATAATAATATAAAGAAAAAGAAAAAGAAAAAATTAAACAGCAAAAAGCAAAAAGAAAAAAAATAAAATATATACGGTATATATATATAGGGAGAGATGTGTGTATGTATAAATGACTATATTACAATTAAAAGGCACAATACAATTTATTGCGACTTTCAGACAGAGAAAAAGGGGAACTTGGAAGATTAAAGGTGTCGATTGATTGATTGATTTTTAAAAAGTGATGTTTGATATATTATCACTGAAATGTGTTAAGAATAGAATTAGAATGCAAACGAAAAGTTATCGATGAAACTATATATAATAAAGGGATCGTGGATTGGAAATTTGTTGTTGTTGTTATTGTTATTAAGCACGATGCCAATATAAGACAAGTTTATTCAATGAAAAGAGAGTGGGATTGCTTGCATAATTAATAAGAAATAACTAGAAAGTAAGTTGAACTGCTAAATACAGACCAACTCGATGGATTGTTAACCTCGCTTGTAAGTTTCAAAGGTTTTAGAACATTACGTATTTTGCTCAATTAGCAAAGTTGACGTGGCCACAAATGTCAAGGTCGAGAAAGTGGCCTAAACGTGTTGGTTGGCTTGTTTGTTGATTAATTGCTTAGCTAACAGAAACTATTCAGCTATTCGCAAAAAAAGAATTTACTATTAGTTCACGAATTTCAAATCCCTTCTTAACTAAAAAGAAAAAACTTTTAAAACATACAAAAGTGTCGACCAAAGGAGTGAAGGGACGCTTTATTGAGACGAGTGCTTTTCACAATGCCGCTGTTATGATCGGTTTTTCCGTCCGGCGCTAGTTATACATGAGATAGATAGATATATTTGAAAAGTAGTAGAATAGGTTAGTGATATCATACACATATACTTTCTATGTATATTTGTTTATACAAAACAAATATTGCGTTTTTTACGCGTCTTCTATCCATTCTTACCACCCAACTATACAACACACCCTTTCGATATACTATCACACCATTTTGACTCTTAAACAAAACCAATAATATGATAAATGAGTGAAACATATAGTGACAAAATAAAAAAAAAGTGAAAGGTACCGACGAAGTTGGATTTCCGATGCGACAGACGACACCAAAGGTGAGAGAAAGTTCCGAGTTTTGCTAGTTCTTTGCTTGGAAGGAAGAGACGAACGAAACTTTTTTTTTAGCTTTAGTTTTTTTTTGTTGTTTTAGTTGTAGTTGGAGGGTCGAACGAAGGGAGGTGCGGTGTAGAGTAAAAAGGACAAGAGGTGTAAGCGACACACAACAACAAGAGAACAGAAGCTGTGTGAGCTTTATTTGCTGGTCTTTCCGAAATCAAAAAACGATGCAAATTTGATTGGAAGGAAACCAAGTTTTCTAACTTTTGGACGTCTTCTCTCTTATTTATTTGAAAGCTTATAAAAATTTCTGTGTGACTGAAGTCATTTATCAAATAAGTTACGCGGCAATTTTGTTCACCCCCAATTGATGATATAAGATATATAAGAAATATAAGAAGTTGAGACAAACATGGAAAAGCCAGGCATTGTGTTTATTTGGGGCCCGTTTTAGTGTACTCTCTCTTTTTGCTCTCTCCTGCGTCGGTTCATGTGCCAGATCATGCGACCATTATATTTTCGCAATACTAATAATATAAATAACGTCATTGTATTCTACTGTATTCTAATCTATGCAATTTCTAATTAATGGACCGTTGCTTAGATTTTCTCGGTCGAATATTTCGTCAGCCCACATCCGCGCCGCATATTTTTTGAAATTACGATAATTATTATTTTCATTTGGTAGGGACTGTGAGTCAACTCGAACATGATTTTTTTTTCGTTAAATCACAAGCTACCAGAAATCTATTTTGGAAGATGCAACGCGATTCACCCGAATATTAATTATTTACATTTAATCTTCCAGGCTTGCATTTGCATTTCAGGAATTTCTTGCACTGTGTGCGTATTATTGCAATTGACGAGACCCATTTTATTAAAATAAGATAATGACTATTGCCACAATTACGGGCGATTTTTCTATTATTAGTGAAACTTCGGAAAATGTTGAAGCAACTTATTTTCAACAAAGTATTGTGTTCAAAAAAAAAAAAATAAATATTTATTGTTTACAATAAATAAATAATCTCTGAAGCTTATCTTTTCCCATGATGAATCGCACAATTTTAGCCAGCATGAACGTGGGAATATGTATGAGAATTTCTTTGCGGTTGAAAATGTGGTGTTTTTGGAAATAACACAGGCTCTCAACCTTTTATTTTTTATTCTTTTCGGAGAAACGATCCGGATTCGATCAGGATGAACGTGATCGCATCGTTAATAGGCCGTTTATTCATTCCTAATTTTATCATTCAAAGATGGAAGCTGAACAAAGCGAACTTGACCGCACCACTAATGCAATTGGAAAATATTTACTGGGCGGTTGGGTAAGTGAACTGAATTTGATTAGCTGTGTATGCGTTACAAATCAAAACTTGCTGAAATCCTAAAGTGACCACATTACTGGTAACTCTTGTAGGTGATGACTGATGAAACTTGCCTAACTCCTAACTGTAATGTGAGCATTTCTTATTTAAGAACTTTAAAGAATGAATTAATATCATAATTACCTTGTTCTAGGTTCCGTTGATGCGTTCAAAGGATAGCACCAAGTGGTTCTGTGTTGTATGTGATGTTGACCCTACTAATGCAAACCAAAAACCTTCAGTTAGTCGGAATTCCTCATACACCATGAGTCAAGACATTCCCCCAAATACAGCGAAAATCAATACATGTGATGCTTTAAATCCAATTGATGAAAATCAAGCTCGACAACAGCAATCACAGCTTGCTTCTCATCTAATTGGACAGCATTTATTGCAGGGATGGGCATTAATCGACGAAATCTGTCCATTGAATACATGTTATGGGGTAAATTTCTTTGTTTTTGTTTTAAAAAAAAAATATTCTTGGCATATTAACAAAAGATTATGTAATTTTTTTTACGAAATCTTTTGTCCATTAACAGGTGCCACTAGTTCGCGGTCGCGATAAAAAAAAGTATTGTGTCATATGCAAAAATTATTTCTTATCCGAATCGGAACTAGGTGAATCAGGAAACTTTAATAGAATCAGAACAAATGGAATTGGCTCATCATCGCAAACATTTGTAAATGGTAAATCAAAGCAAGAAAAAAAGCATGACTTGGAAGAAGAAGATATACAAGTACGTCGTAAATCTTTATTCTTTTTATATTACGATTTCCCGAGAAATATATAGTAATTAGTTAAGTGATCGCTGTTTGTATGTACATTTCAGTATAGTCCTTCTAAACGGAACAAAATTGATTGTGAAGCACAATCATCTGTATTATCATCTGTTCAATCTTTCTCTTCTTAACATCAAACCTTCTCGTCATATTTGCACGACCTTGCTATTTATATTATCATTATTATTATTAGGATACGATACAGCAACTTGAGAAAGAAGCAGAGCGAGTAACATTACTTTCATCTCAACAAAATACTTCAAATCAAAGAATTAGCTCCACAATCTCCACTGCCGGTTCATTAGAGACCAGCAGCAATATTAACCTTTCTACTTCTATTATTTCTGTTGAGAAGAGAACAATCATCACAATGAGAGAAACACTTGAACAATTGCGTATCAAGTTAGCATCAAGTAATGAGCCAAAAGAAATCATGGAGATATGTGACAGCATCAAAAGCTGTGCTCAGGCTTTAGATGTGTTGAGCAGGTATTCAAACCGAGTTCATGATGTGATGCATTAAAATTTGTCAAATAGGTAATCATCGATATCATGTGATTGAAATATCGGTTTGATTATCTTGGACGATAGTTGAATAAAAAGTTAAATTGCCGCCTTTTTGCAGGATAAATTATTAATATGGTAAAAAAGAGTTACAATAACACTCACGCATAAGGAAATGCTTCTGATTTGCTCCATTTTGATTTTTAATTCAGTGAAAGAGGATGATCGTTTGTGTTCATTTCATTCATTCATCCATTTGAACAATATAAAATATTATACTTTCAAATTGCACGATGATGAAATTGTAAACATTTAATTATGCAGGATTGCAGGATTGATCTGTTGCGTCGTTGCTTCATACCATAGGCTCCATTTCTGGGCGTGCACTACGTAAAAAAGAATTTCTTTGCATTTGTAATTCTTGCTTATAAATAGCAACGTAATTCGAATTACACGTCATTTCACCCTTCATTTTTTTCTAATCGGACGTACTCGAATTTGGATTTGTTCGACAAAAAGTGCTCCCTGCGGGATTCGAACCCGCGTACTTCGCGTTTAGTGCTCCTTTATAGGATACGACACCTATAAGCACGACGCCTTAACCTCTAGGCCAAGGGAGCTTTATTTTTGTTGGTTACGACAAAAATAATATAAATTAGTTTATTACCATTTTTCCGGAGAATTCAAGGTAAAACTTATGCAATTTATTTCATTAAAGTGTTTTTTTCTTTTTACGTTTCGAGAGATATGGTGCATTTTATATTTTTTCATGCATCGACTTCTTATCAATTTTTCAATGAAATAATTTCGTACCAACCATGTGATTTTCCGCGTGCAGATAATTGCACGTGGCCGACTAATGAGCAAATATATTTGAAATATTATAATGCTTGATATCAATATATATAATAATGATAGATTATTATTATAGATTAAAATAATAATATATAGAATAATAATATATAATAAAAGAAGAATATATTATAAAATAAAAAAAATTTTTTATTATAATTTAGTTTTAATTTTAATAAATAACAATCAAGAAATAATTTATTTCTTTAATTTTCTAAAGAAAAGTTTGCTTTAAATTAAATTTAATTTTAAACTTTAATTTTTAGAATATAAATGCTATATATAATATTTCTTTATTTAAATAAGAAAAAAATTTTAAGCTTAAATTTAAAATTTTAATTTAATATAAATTTAATATAAATTAATTCTAATTATAATAATAATATTTATAATTTATTAATAAAAATACAATATATTTTTATAAATAATAATATTTATTTTAATAAATTTATAATTAAAAATAATAATTATAATATTATTTATAATTATTTTTTATAATTATTATTAAATAATTTAATTATTTTAATTTGAATTATTATAATTTATTATTAAATATAATTTATTTTTATAAAAGTTAATATTTTATTATAAATTATCTTAAAAAAATAAAGATTATAATAATTATTTGAATATAATATAGAACAAAAATAAAAATTTAAAAATTTATTATAATTTAATAATATTTATTTAATATTTATAAAAGTTTTATTTTAAAATTTATTTTATAATTAATTTTTAAATTAAAAAAATTAATTTAAAAAAAATAAGAAAAAAGTTTATATATAAAAAAGTTTTATAAAAATACTATATAAAAAATATTTTTATTTTTATTTTTCTTTATTATAAAATAAAAATTTTATAAATAAATTTACTTAAAAATAATATATAATCCTTAGTATAAGTAATAATAATAGATATTTTTACCTATATTTTAATAATAAAATATCTAAAACTCACGAAAATTTATAAATATATTCTTTAAAATATTATGAACAAGATTCTCTAATAGCATAAGATATGTTAGCTTAATAAAATTTTGTGAAATTTTGTATTAAATATAGTAAATTAAGTATTTACATGAAATAATCTTGAAAAAGAAATTATTTAAAAATATTTTTAATAAGTAATTTTGAAAATATTTTTATAAAAATAAATTTTAAGTTATAAAAAATATATTTATAAATTTAAAAAATTTTTTATTGCATATTTATTTAATAAATACCAGCTAAAAAAGTTTTTATCTTGATAAATTTCATAATAAATCATAATAAAAATTTATTTTTACTATATTTTACTA